AAAGCTCTACAGAAATGAACATAGGCACTTAGATTCCTCGACATACTGGACATTTCCATCAAAATTTGAACGAATATTAGAATATCGGTTAAATAAAATTAATAGGCATAATATTAACTCATTTAAAATGAGAGGTTTATTTGTTTTATGAATTTTTATTTCAATAATTGTTTAGAAAGATCATTGATATCAATATTTTGACACTTTTGACCTTTGAGACCTTTGCCAGCTTAGTGATAACTAGTTTTATTATTATTTTGTGGATAAGAAAGCAGTGAATAAAGGAATGGCTGGAAGTGGAACATTTTTTTTGATATGTTGGAAATATTGACCATTGGTAACAATAATTACATAAAGAAAATTGTCGCAATTGAACCCTGAATATTGATGCACCCATGCGAAACGTTTTTAACTTAAATATTTGTATTTTGTAAGCATCAAATATTTAAGTGCTTTTTATTTTGGTTAATAATTTTCAAACTACTTTTTACAAACAAAAGTTTTTAAAGTATATATTTTATTTTATTCGGTAAAAAGTACTATTTAAAAATTTAGTTCATAGAAAGTTTTTAAGAAGTGTATAGATTTAGAGACCCAACAAGCGATAGACGCTCCTATGTTTTACATGGGTTTGGGATTGGTGTTACAGTGTGTGATGAAGGCTAGCTTCAGCTCATGAGTATTATACTTGGGAAGTTATGCCCAAATTATTGGGGAGACACATCGACTTAAACTGTAACGACCCGACTCTTTGGACAATTCTATTGGGGACGTTACTAATGCATGCTTTCAACCTTTTAAATTGAAAGGAAAAAAATGGTAATAAATAAGAACATCATAGCGAAAATTCCATAACTTGCAAAATAGTTAAAAACCTTTATTTGGGATCCCATAAAAAGGAAGTATATTTGGGATCCCATAAAAAGGCTTGTCACTCGCCTCCAGTAAGTAATCCCACTAACAAGGTGAGACATGCATACACACCCATGAATTGTATCATTTAGTAACATAATTATGTGGGACCTAAATCTTTATCCGTCAATATATTTTCCTTTTCTTTTTCCTTTTGTCCACTACTTTGCACTAGTGCCACTTGAAGCACTCTTTGAGTTGTGGTTTGGGTGTTCGAACTAGTCATCCAACATTTTCTGACATAATGGTCCACCTTCTTGTACATAAAGCATACCCTATTTTATTCCAACATAGCCCAGTGTGACGCTTATGACAGAACGAGCACAATGAGCGAGTACCTTGCTCTAGTGCTTGATCCTCAGGATGAATCTGTTGGGTACCCTGTCCTAAAACTTAAAACTCGTAGTTTGTAAACAGTGAACATTAATGTGAGGTTATTCAGACAAATGTTGTTAAATGAAAGTGAATTTGTTTTTTAATAAATCCA